TTCGAAATCAAAATTTTTCAATGAAAATTTCGGCCAGTTTTCGAAATTTAACTAAAGCCATTTTCTTATAGATTTCGACTTCCAGAAGTTAGTTTCGGTCTCATTTATTCGATAACTTCTATCATTTTTCCAGAGTGGCCTGTGAAAATTTTGGACAATTTTCGACAATTTTAGAAATTTAACCAAAGTCATTCTCTTATGGATTTAAGTTATAGAAGTTAGTTTCGGCTTCATTTCTTCGATTTCTTCTACCATTTTAGCAGAATCGTAGTTGAAAATTTCAATTTTCGTAATATAACAAAAATATTTTCTTACCGATTTCGACTTCCGTTTTTCAGAATCGTCCACTGAAATGTAGCAATTTTATGGATTAAAAAAAAATTTTCATACAGAAATTGTTTCAATCTTACACCCGGAGCATAAACACGTTATGTTTTTGTAATCACTTAATCAGCTCGACAAAATCTACATCCCAGAATTTTTTGGGATTTTTGGGTAACTTTTTCGAAAGCAAAACTTTTCAATGAAAATTTAGGACAATTTTCGACAATTTTCTAAATTTAACTAGGCATTTTCTTATAGATTTACATTTCCAGCAGTTAGTGCCGGCCTCATTTATTCGATATCTCCTACCATTTTTCCAAAATGGCCCGTGAAAATTTCTACCAATTTTCAAAATTTAACCAAAGAGATTCTCTTATGAATTTAACTTCTAGAAGTTAGTTTCGGCTTCATTTCTTCGATTTCTTTTACCATTTTTTCAGATTCGTCCATGAAAATTTCGGCCAATATTCGCCAATTTTCGAAATATAACTGACGATATTTTCTTACGGATTTTGACTTCACTGTTTTAGAATCGCCCACACATTGAAATTTTTTGGATTAAAAAAAAATTCAAACAGATAATTTTTAAATCTTACACCGGGAGCATAAACACGCTGTTTTTGTAATCAGCACGACGAAATCTGTGTCCCAGAATGTGTTAGGATTTTTTTGGCAGCTTTTTCTACAGCAAAATATTTCAATATGAAAATTTCGGCCAAATTTTGATAATTTTCGAAATTTAACCGCAGACATTTTTTACGGATTTCATCCTCCAGAAGTCAGTTTCGCATTCAATTTTTCTGTAGCTGCTACAATTTTCGAAATTTAACCAAAAACATTCTTTTATGGATTTAACTTCTAGAAGGTAGTTTCCGTTTCATTTCTTCGATATCTCCTATTATTTTTCCAGAATTCTCCATAAAAATTTCGGTCAGTTTTCGAAATATAACTAAAAATATTTTCTTACGAATTCCGACTCCAATTGTCTGAATCATCCACTGAAATATTTTTTTTATTAAAAAAAAAATTCTAACAGAAGATATTTAAATCTTGCACCAGGAGCATAAACACGCTATGTGTTTGTAATCAGCTCGACGAAATTTATATCCGAGAATTTTTAGGGATTTTTTGGTAACTTTTTCGAAACCAAAATTTTTCAATGAAAATTTCGGCCGATTTTCGGCCGATTTTCGAAATTTAACTAAAGCCATAGATTTCGACTTCCAGAAGTTAGTTTCGGTCTCATTTATTCGATAACTCCTATCATTTTTCCAAAATGACCTGTGAAAATTTTGGACAATTTTCGACAATTTTCAAAAACTAACCGAAGACATTCTCTTATATATTTAACTAATAGAAGTTAGTTTCAGCTTCATTTTTTCGATATCTACTACCATTTTTCCAGAATAGTCCATGACAATTTCGAAATATAAATAAGAGTATTTTCTTACGGATTCCGTCTTAAGTTTTACAGAATCGTCCACTGAAATATTGCAATTTTTTTCTTATAAAAAAAAAAAATCAAGCAGAAAATTTTTCAAATTTACACCAGGAGCATAAACACGCTATGTGTATGTAATCACTTAATCAGCTCGACGAAATCTATATTCCAGAATGGTTTGGAATTTTTTGGTAACTTTTTCGAAAGCAAAATTTTTCAATGAAAATTTAGGCCAATTTTCGACAATTTTCGAAATTTAACTAAAGCCATTTTCTTATAGATTTCGACCTCCAGCAGATACTTTCGCCACACTTATTCGATATCTCCTACCATTTTTCCACAATGGCCTGTGAAAATTTCGGCCAATTTTCGACAATTTTTGAAATTTAACCAAAGACATTCTCTTATGATTTTAACTTCTAGAAGGTAGTTTCAGCTTCACTTCTTCGGTACCTACTACCATTTTTCCAGAATCGCCCATGAAAATTTCGCTCAATTTTCGAAATATAACTAAAAGTATTTTCTTACGGATTTCGACTTCAGTTTTTAGAATTGTCCACTGAAATATTGCAATTTTTTGGAATAAAAAGAAAAAATTCAAACAGACAATTTTTAAATCTTCCACCGGGGGCATAAACACGATATATTTTTGTAAACAGCTTTTTCAATATCAAAAATTTTAACAATTTTCAAAATTTAACCGCAGACACTCTTTACTGATTTCAACCTCCCGAAGTTAGTTTGGCTTTCAATTTTTCTATAGCTCCTACCATTTTTTCAGAATAGCCCAGTGAAATATTGCAATTTTTTGTATTAAAAAAATATAATTTTTTGTTTTAGGAATTAGCTCAACGACAGCTATAGATTCCGTTTTTTTTTCAGTTTTTTGGAAAGCAAAATTTTTCTCAATGAAAACTTCGATCGAATTTAACCAAAGGCATTTTCTCATGGATTTCGACCTCGAGAAGTTAGTTTCGGCCTCATTTCTTCCCCTATCGAATATTTTTTAATCTGTATCCCAGAATTTTTAAATTTTTTTGACGACTTTTTCAAAGCACTGTAGACTAAGTGAATTATTTAAATGAGTCTAAAGACTTGTTTTGCCCAAAATTTTGTAAACACACATTTTTGATTCACCCATATTTTTATTTCAATGTTATAAACAAAATTATTGCTTGTTTAGTAATAAGAACTATTTTTATTATATTTATTATTTTTATTACATTTTTTTTTAAGTGTACATGCTATGCAACTATTACTACATATAGCTCTAGTAAAGTATCTACACAAATATTCGATGCAATAACCAAACTACTGATTTTTTAAAAGGGCAAGAAGAGAATATGAGCGCCTTAAAATCTAAAAAAAAATCATAAGTATTAAATTACTGGTTCTGTAAATAAAAATCATGTGGGTTTACCGTCGTAAATGTGATCACTGATAAATCAAGAATTTTCCCAGCTGTCACAACAATAGGTCGTTGAGAACGTTCCAGCAACAAAATAAAATCCCTTTTTGACTCAGCATCATAGTCGTACCAATTCCCCATATAATCTGCATTCGTTAGACTATCACTCTATAAAAATTAACTTTAAAATCAGTTTTTATAACAAAATTGTACAAACCTCTTCATACAGTACCGTCCCATAGTAACAATAAAAATATATTTGAACCAGAAGGACAATTAAGTAGCACACCAAAATGGAAAAATTTGGGGTCGTCGGTGACATCTAAAACCAAGCAATTAACACGAAATTCAATATCCAAACAAGATACTCACTTTTCCTAACTGGAAACAACAGAAACCCACAACTAAAACACTTCCTGCAAACTGGCTAAAAACAACACTTGAAAAGCAACTTTCGAACTCTTTGATGAAACTAAAAATGATCTATATACGAAATCAGTTTTTTGATTTTAGTGCCATACTTACCTTAGAATTATATTGTGATGATTAATACAGTGTTTGATGTTGCGTCTGGTCACAAAAATCTTCAGTGATTCGGAATCTGTAGTGCATTGATCAAGATGTTTTAAATTATGTTTTAAAACCTGAATATGTCCAGACGCTAAACCACAAAGTCCAGCAAGTAGAGGGTCAATAGCGGCACCAGCAATGGACCCATACGCAACACCTGTTAACTAAAGTTACAAACCTCTCTGAGCTCCTATTTTAAATTTACCCAAAGTAAGTAAAACGAACACGAAAATATACACCATCGTGTTTTCCATCAAATTATAAGGAAGCCACACATCCACCGACAGTTGTCCATTTTGTAGAAGAAAAGGTTTCACCGCCCAGCTTATATTACCAGCAATAATGGAACCAAGAAACACTTTGGTATTTCTTTGACACGTGTGGACCCACTTTTCCAAAATTTTTTCATTGTCTCCTTTTACCTCAAATAAGGGATCTTCCAAATAATGGATACACTTTTTAATCCGATCTCCGTTCAAAATAAAAGGCATTAGTTTGGCAATTTGGGACGCTAAGTGGGCCACCTGAAAAGCGTTTTCACCAATCCTCATCTGGTCGATCTCTTCGCCATAAATAAAATGCAGGCTTCCTAACACCGGTACAGGATATGCAAATGCAAAATATAATAACAAGGACCGTAACCATGATATTCTTGTAGGTTTTTCAGGAGGGTATAAACCAAACGCTCTCATTATGTGTATGTTAATGCTGAAACTCTGCCAGATGATACTCGTCATTGTAACTAGAGTGCTTAATGTACGTTATACGGAATTTCAAAAATAAACTGTGATTATACAGCCTAAAAAGAGGTCAATTAGAGAATGTAAAGATATAGAAGGTGTTTAATTTAATAATACCAAGTTGTGTGTTACGCCTTAAAAACAGAATACTCTATATAGTTAAAAATAATTTTAGTGTAGAGTCCTCCTCAACGAATCGTAGACTTTTTTCGTTTTGTAATATTTAATGCGCTTAGTGAATCACTCGGTATATTGATAACGACTGGACACTAGAATAAGAAAAATTAAAAATTAGCGAGGTAGCTAGGGAAGAAAAAAACGAATACTAAAGAGTTAGAGGAATAAACTGAGAAAAGCGTTGCCAAAGGAATTTTATTGGAAACCAGAAAGAGCAAAAAAGAAAAATTAAAGGTAGAACAAAAGGAGAAATCACAACAGGTGTGAAGAATGATGTGAAAGATATAAAAAATATAATAGACAACAAAAGAAGTTAGAAAAAAGAAACAAATTAATGTAATGTTAATGTAGGAAAAGTGAGTGTGAGTACCCATTAAAAATCTCTCTGATAATATTTTGTGTTAAAAAAGTTTGCATCTGGTTTTTGCCTTATTCTGTAATGAAATTTTTGTGTCTACCTCTTCGTTTTATTATTGTTGTAGTTCGAAGAATAGTTACCTACCGACGGACGCCCAGTCATCGCCTGTCTATCAATTCTGTGATCGAATCTTCCCCATTTGAATTACTCATCGAAGAGATAAATACACATTTTAGAAAATGTTTTCAATGGAACAAATTAAGGTAAAAATGAAAATTGTCCAGAGTTGTCGCAAAATTTTGGTTAAACAGTGCTTTCAGTTTTGCTTCGAACAAATTATTTGAATTTTATTAATTCTTGTGGTTCTATACGCTATAGTGCAATTAGTGTCTCCATTATTAACAGATTTTTTGTTAGGAAATTTTAAATAAACCCTGTCCACAATTTTGTCTATTTAATGCGAGGCAGTTTTTTAAAGAGTATCACGTTTTTTTTGAAAAGACAGTATCAGAATTATTTATGAAAATTTCGGAACGCGGTTTTCCTCACTTTACTCCATAATTCCTAGGAAAAGCATTCCCGAATTTTTGACCGGAAATTAGATACAGTAAAACAACAAACCCTTAAAAAACTGCTCATTAATTACTTATATATAGAAAATTGTAGACACGTTATGTTTAAAATTTTACAACAAGACGAAATGGGGACAAAAATCAAGCAAATTAATTATCGTTACTTTGTATATAATATTAATATTTTAATTAAATTACCTTAAACAATTTTGGCTACTCTTTCAACAAGCTCGAAACTATTCCTATACTTTCTGTTGTATCACAGTTTTTCACACTTATTCATTCTATGGATTCTCGATCTAGCAATTCACCTAGATGAAAAATTATTAAATCAAACTATGATATTAAAACCAATCGGAGCAAAACACATCACTTTTCGAATATTTCAAACAGCTACTTCCACAGATTCTAGAATTTTGTCAAATTTCATTCACACTCACCTATTTAGCTGCAATTTATTCCCAAATTGTGATAAAATTGTAAAAATACATCTTAATTTTTGTTTTTTGTAGCGTTATTTAATTTAGGTTGGACGTCTAAGTGATCTGGCTCTTCAATTGCACCCTGACACAATTATTGTGAGAATAATTCGTAAAACGTGGAACTGTAACGTCAGAAAAGAAGAAAAGAAAATCTACTTCAAGAGAGTCTGTATCAGTAAATATATTTTTAATTTTCCTGTGTATTTATGTTTTAAAAATAAAAATTTTGGCACACTGTGTACAATTTTTCGTTATCTAGAAATCTCTACACCACACTAACTGAAAGAACAATTTCATACCTGAAAATCGTTCCTCCCAAAAGCGATGAATTAGGTTCGCATTATTTTTCTATTTCCCATAAAAAACACAATTAGATAAAATCAACAAAACTATAATATGTACTATTTTTCAATCCTCTAAATACGTTAAAAATTACCCCTAAAAATAAAGAATCCATAAAACTTACTCAAACTTTGAGGAATAATGCAACTTTAAATTGTTTCAATTAATATTCACCTCAAAACTCCTTAAATGAGACTAAACTCCAGAGTGCCAAATTTTACCCATTCAGTTCCAACACCCTCATGCAACTAGACACATTTCTTTGAAAATTTTTATGCCATCCTACATTGTATATTATAATCTCTTTACAGCGCCGCTCCATAATTATATAAAGAATATTCTTTTTTAAATTGATCACAGTTAATTTACGTGTTCTCTGTCGATCTTCTCTTTGATAAAAAATTCATTTAACTTATTTTAATTATAGAGAAATGCACCTGTAGGGATGCATACGCTGCACAATAATATAGAAACGCCCCATTGTTCCGACTTTCTCAGAGCAGTGTGCCAGTAGATTAAACTAACTCAACGAAGCAAAGTTTTAGCATTAACGTAAAAATTACTATTATTCGATTATACTCTTCAAATTATTCGACGTTTCACTCACCAGAAGATTACATTTTAAGCATCTTTCGGCTAATTTTTGTTCTCAGTGTGTAGAAATGTGGCTTCAGTTCCTTTAACGTTGTTGTGGAATTTGGGTCTCAAAGTAAAGTAGAGAAACAAATTTTAGTGTTTATGCAGCTCAATAAATTATTACTCTACATTTTATGTTCATCTTTGTGTTGATAAAGGTAAGTATTTCGCTGCTGTAAAAATTTATAGAGTGGCAAGTAACAATTTTAGCTCTTTGCTGCTGCTGTGTGGCTAGCTATTTACTTTGTGTGTCTGTTAACGATCTTCCTGGAGATGATATTTATCGAAAGTTGGCCTCATGTCTGAACCATCACACTGAAATATCCAAGTTAGATTTTCCACTTGTTTATTTTACATTATTTGTTATTTTATTAAATACCTAAGTATTTTATTTAATAAATTTCCTTTTTCTCAATTCAATGTCCTTCTGTATATTGGCGAAATATCATGTGTTGTTTCCGTGCGTCCCTTATGTTTTTCACCTCCTGGTAAAAGTTCTGTAATCCCTTATTTTTATACATCTCTTCTAAATTACGGAAGCGTCTCTCTTCATAAATTCTCTTTTTGTTTCTCTACTAATTCCGTACTATATGCGTTTCCCAATGTCAATAACCGTTGCTGCGCTTTTTTTGCATTTCCTTCCTACATTCGTCGTCAAAAAAATTGAAAATTTTACAGCTCATGTCATATTGTTCGTAAGTTTCTTGAACAGTCTGATCATGTCAGTCAGATTAGATTAGCACCAGTAGGTCAGAGTAGTGTAGGTCACTTTTCATGTGATGCGCGGATAAATGGTCGGTAGTTACGCTGGACTTTTGGGGATGGGGTGAGATTAGAGAATAATAGCAGACTAATTTGTATGCTGTAATTCTAGAATCTCGAAAGTTGTTCTGTTAATCTAATCAATGCATATCATTACTTGGTCTTAGTACCCGTAATGATAGAAGTCTTGCCTGAATGCCGGTCATTTCCGGGTCAGTGGTGGGTCTTAATTTTAACAGCATAGCAGATAGTATAGTCAATAATATGTCTCCTCCCAATTGTGATCCTATTTCTTTATTATGTTCAAATAGTGACTGTGAAAGTAATCATGAAAGATCTTATTTTAAGTTCGACGTAGTATCTTGTACCCATGTTCGTGAAATAATAGACAAATTACGTAACAATTAAGCTAATGATTGTTATGGTATCAGTGTGGATCTCATAAAAAGTATTAAAGATGTGATAATCTCCCCACTGACAAAATTGATAAACAATTGTATAGTACGATCTATCTTTCCCAATTGTCTGAAAATAGCTACCGTCATTCCTATTTTTAAGAAGGGTGAAAAAAATAATATGGGTAACTACCGGCCAATTTCCCTTTTGCCGATATTCTCTAAAATATTGAAAAAAATTTTATATCTACAATTAAATTCATATTTAGAACAGAATAATCTGATTTGTCGAAACCAATTTTTTTTCGAACTGGCAAAAGTAGTTCAAATGCCATCATTGATTTTGTAGATGGAATAAATGATTGTTTACACCAAGGTAAAGTTGCTTACGCGACTTTTTTAAATCTGAGGAAAGCTTTCGACTGCGTGTCCCACTCTGTATTGATTCGGAAACTCTATTGCTACTATTTACTTCCTGAGAGTTGTAGATTAATATCGTCCTCTCTAGGCAATAGGTTGCAAAGAGTAATTTACAGTGGGGAGCTATCGGAATTGGCAACCATTAGAAAAGGGGTCCCCCAAGGATCCGTCCTGGGCCCTTTACTTTTTCTAATTTACATTAATGATTTACCGCTACATTTACAAGATACGAAATGTACACTATTTGCAGATGATACCTCACTTTTAAATAGTAACAATGAGTATAACGACGTGTTAATGCAGGATAGGGACACGCAGACGAGAGCTTCTGAATGGTTTATCAATAATTTGCTTTCAATAAATCAAGATAAAACCGTCAGAATGCTTTTTTCACTGAAAACCTCTACTGTTAAATACAGTAATATGTTTTCTGACCATACTTTATTTTTAGGCATTAATATTGATCATAAATTAAATTGGAATGCACAGGAAATTGCTGTTTCTCACAAATTATCGTCAGTTACGTTTCTGTTAAGGCAACTAAAAGACAAGGTGTCCTTGACAGTATTAAAAACTGCCCATTTTACTTTATTTCAGTCCACGTTGCTCTATGGTATTTTGGTTTGGGGACATTCTCACATCAGATATTTAATTTTTAAGTTACAGTGAAGGGTAATAAGGGTCATGTCTGGATTAAACTATAGGGCAGATTGTAGACAGAGTTTTATTAATTTAGAGATTATGACTTTTCCTTCTTTTCAAGCTTAATGTACGTTAAACAAAATGTTCAATACTATTATTGCCACACTGATACCCATAAGTATTATACTAGACATAGAAACAACTTAATATCGAAACACAATAGATTAACATGCACTCAAAACTGTACAAGATACTACGGACTTAAATTTTTTAATATGTTGCCACCAAATGTCCGTATTTTGCTACTGCCCAAATTTAAAAAACAAGTACGATCTTTTGTCATTACAAATTGTTTTTATTCATTTGAGGATTACTTTCTATATAATTTTAATTTTAATAATATTATTTAAATTTTATTATTTTTTTTTAAATTATTATTATTTTCTTGTACATGACTTTCACTGGTTTCTTCATCACCTTATTTTTTCTTGATTTTTATCTCAGTTTACACTGTATTTCTCTCTTCATACTCAAACTTCGTGCTACACTTCAAGTTTTCCTTATTGTTCATCATTAACATTTTCTCTTCCCAGTTGTTGATTTTTGCTATTATTAAACGTTTTGCCCTCTGAGTTTGTACTTGATCTCCAGCCCAATTTCGACTCCTGCTTGGTTTTTTAGGAACTCCTCTACCTTTTCTTTTATATTCGTCCCATCCGTTTCCAGTCCTTTAAAAACAATATGATTTTTTCTCTCTTTTTTTTTCTATGCTTTCTACTTTCAGTTCCAGCGCTAGTCGCTTCTCTCTCAATTTAGCATTTTCTTCTTTTACACTTCAGATCTCTTCTTGGTACGCTTTTTCGTCTGTTTTGATATCCCTTACGTCCTGCATGACAGTTTTTAACATACTCTTTAACTCCTCCATATCGTTTTCGATGTTTATTTTCTTCGTGTGTTACTTAGGTTTGTATTTTTATAATTATATAATAATTATGCCGAAAATATAAACCACAAGGACAGACTCAAATAGTTTTACACATTTTAGATGGACTGTATAGGACAAAATTTGGCGATTTTATCATCAATTTAGGAAGAGGGAGGAGATAAATTTCCACTGCTATACCATGGCAACAATAACAATAATTTTGATTTTTTCAGAGTATCAGTAGGGGGTAAACGGATAAATTTTGACTGGAGATTAACTCTATTCATCCAAAATTACTCTTGTGTCTTCATTATGCTCTTTCAACTTAGTACATTCTCTTAACAAGTTTCCCTTCTTCCATACACAATATACGCAGTCTATTATTCTCATTCCAGCGGAATTTGTTTCCTTTTTCGCCATTTCCACAACGGAGTCTCGCCATTATTTTCCTCTTACACGCTTTCTCTTTCCAAGTTCCGGAACCGGGGGACGTATTTTTTCGTACTCTAGATGTAATGGCACGTCCAGAAAAAATGAAACTAGGGAAGTGAAAATTATACTCCACTAACTACCATAAGCTCTTTTTGAAATACTCAATGGATTTCATATTTTTGCTGAAATTTCGACGTAACTGAAGGTAACAATTAATTGAAAGTACATTTTTGCAGAAATCCTTACGTAATTTAATGGAATCATCCAAGAAACCTACAATTTTCCCAAGTGCAAAGTGATTAGGATCGAAGTACTACTGATGGAAGAAATCAAATCCAAAATATTTTCTGTAATTAAAATTTTATCTGAGTACTGAAAAAATGTTCACAAGAGTTGTAAAACAATGAATAAAATGTATGCAAGTATTATGTGAAGGTTTTATATATGTTATTTTTTTTATTCCATTTTGACAATTTAAATTGACTATTAATTTCATAGTAAGCTTCATAAAGGAGTTCATGATGCATTCATATTTTTGGAGTGGCAGAATATGGCTGCTTAAAGTAAGAAACGTTAAGGTTTGTCGAAATAACCGTCAACCAATCGACTGCTTTGAAAACTTGTGTTTACATACAGC